ATGCTGGCGCAGTGGCGCACTGCACCGTGTTCTGGCTGCAGTCAATTGTGGTGATTAAGAGCAGAGCACCGCACGCCGCCGCAATGCCAATCATTTCCCCCCTTAATGACCTTTGCTCGTCGTGTCTAATTAATGCGTTGTTTGCAAACGGCGTGCAAGCGAGGATGGAGAGAGAGAAGAGCGGCGCTGCTCATCAGCAGCCGGATGTGTTCTCACCAGTAATCACGTCGCACCGGGGCCGGGCGCAGCCGGTCTTTGTCTTTCGTCTGTCTTTTTACAACATTTTGGCAGAAAAACTGCAAGTGCAGATACGAGGTGTGTCTGGAGAATTTTGCTTAATTTAGAAACAAATTCGCAATAACTTTCTTTATTTAAAAATACGGCGGATGATGCCGCTGATCATCAGCCGGGCTTTAAACGTATTTTAACAGAATTTTTAATTTTTTATAATGACATGTGTACTCTCGGAGAAACGGTGAAATCGTAAAATAATCACAAAAATAATTTTAAAAAATTAAAATAGTGTCACCGGTACTTGTGAGGTAGAAATATTAATAACAAAACGAGAAACAACGGTAAAACGGTGAAAGATTCCTAAAACTAATAAATATGAAAAAAATAAAATTACGGAAACAATAAGAATTGTACCAAATGTACAGCCAATTTTTTGGAAATAATATTATTATCAAAAAGTTGACAGACGACAACCGGGTGAAATCGATCGGCAGTTTTTTGCGCAACTTGTTGACCTTTACATGGTGAATATCTCGGCCGTTTCCCAGGGAGGTCAACACGGCAATATTACCGTGAAAAATTGAAAAAATATGAAGTGGCAACTCGGTATATCGGTTACACTGGTTGTTCTTGATGGATAACAACCGCACATAAAAATGTAAAATCATGTGACATCAACATATTGAAATATCAGCGGGATGAACAACCGGCCGACCTTAATCACGGCGGCGGCTACATGTACACGAGCAATGAATATCGCGCATTATGAATGAGCAGGGAAGAAAACACGGCGCCGGTGTAAAATGGGAAAACCGATATCGGGGCATAAGATTATGTGTAAGAGGCAACAGCAGACACTGAGTATACCGTTTATACATGCTGATCCAACGCCGGTAGAGGGGCTCACGTTACCCACGGTGTGAAATGCAATGTGATAATTATCACTCTCCATTTAAATCGAGAATATCATGCATGCGATAATTATCCCGGCTATATACACATAGTTTATTCAATTATCTGTCAAAATCAGTTAACAAGTGCGGGTCATTAAGCAACTTCGATTGTTCACACAAAATTTAACATTAATTTATTTTTTTTAATTTTGCACAAAATACTATACAAACTGCAGTCATTTTGATATTTTGTTTTATTTCATTTTTTTTTGATTTTTTTTTATTCATTTTATTCAGTTTTTTTGAATTATTTTTATTTATTTTAATTAATTCTTTATTTTATATGTTTAAGTTTTTATTAATTTTTAATTTATTAATTTTTATTATTTTCTAGTTGTTTAGAAAAATACGGCAAGCATTCATGGAAAAGATTACTAGTTGCATTCTAGTGGCGCTTTCACCCGCTTTGTGATTTTCTTTGTTGGTGGAAACGTGACTGCAGTCTGCATTCTACACGCTAAAATCGCACTGTCGCTCGTTGCAGTTAGTGCAGGGGCGATAAATAATGCTGGGATAAGAGGGCCGTGTTTGTTTAGTGCACCCATCGATTCATTGGGGCCGGTGTGTTCCGTACGGCCTAGCACAGCGCAGTGAAGTGGACCAGCTTAAGCGTCTGCGGAATTCCACTCACAACAATCCCGTGACCTAACTCGTAACGGCCGTGCTGGCCTACTGCTGTGTGTGGCCGGGCAAACAGGCAGCGTTTGTTTAACAATTTCCCCTTCCGAGCTGTGCCAATCTACTTTCCACTGTCCCGAGCTTTTTCCTGACAAACACACGACAAGAGTAATCCCCGTACAATGGCTTCATTGTGAAATGCAGCGAAGATAGTGACGTTCCTGTACAACATACACTGTAAAATACAGATGATACAGGGATGTGACAGTACGACAAATGCACACCGATCAAAGATTTAAACTCGACCAGCGCGACGATTCCCTGTACAATGATACGAGAAAAATAAAGCATGACGCACAGGGAGACGACAAGGTCGGCACAAATTACTCGGTTCAGTGGTACTTAACTAAAAGTTAGAGTTGCCCATGCCCAAAACTAGATTTGTACAGCGCAAAGCAGATTCTAAATCGGCTAAACTTGGCATCGGCTTCCTCTGTGCGCCCGCTTATCTCTAAATTATGCCCTTTTCTACCACCGACCGACACAACTTCCGCAACTTTGGCTTGGAAGTTGCTTACCGGCTTGAATGATGTGCCAGCTGAACCCCTCCACGGCATCCAGAAAGCCTGGGACACTCCTGCGTCCTTGCGTGCACTTTCTGACCTTTCAGCACTCCGTGTCTCTGCCACAGAAGTCGCACACTTGAAGGCGGTGTCAACACCAGAATCGGGTTACTGGATTCACGCATTGCCGGCTGCTTGCCTAGGTAATCTGCTGGAAAATATCGATTTTCAGACCAGCGTCGCTCTACGTTTAGGTGCTCCTATTGTAACTCCCCATGAATGTAAATGCGGCGAATGGGTAGACGAGTTCGGGAGACATGGACTGCGGTGCAAACGATCAGCCGGACGACTACCCAGACATGATGGCATCAGCAAGGAGTTCGCTCGCGCGTTAACGACGGGTGGTTTCCCTGCCAGAGTGGAGCCGAAAGGATTGGCCTTAGTAGGTAACAAAAGACCGGATGTAGTTACGCTTGTCCCCTGGGAACGTGGTAAACCACTCGCAATAGACGTAACCTGTGTGGACACTCTGGCAACTTCATATCTCGACCGTACAGCCGTCAATGTCGGTGCCGCAGCGGAACTAGCCGAAGCAAAAAAGCTCGCAAAACATGCGTGGCTTCAGCCAAGGTACAATTTTGTTGCCGCTGCCTTTGAAACATACGGACCTTTGGGCGACGGAGCTAAGATGCTGGTCGATAAAACCGGACAGCTCATCGCGACCACTACCGGGCAACCACGCGCGAAAGAATTTTTCCGGCAGCGGATCTCCATACAGATTCAAAGAGGAAACGCTATGTGCGTTATGGGCACAATACCGGATCAGGAGAAGTTAGAGGAAATTTTCTTGTTATAGCATGTGAAAACTGCATTTCTTTTTTGTCTGTGTTTGTATTATTTGATTTTTGCTTGAACGATGTTAATACACATCAAATTCGTTGTGCTATTTATGCGAATGCAACATGTTGCTGTTATTCTGTTGTGCAATTGGAGTTTTGTTACCGCATATGATACATGTAATTTAAGCTATGTTAATACACAAGATTCTAAATTATTTTCAAAAATTTGTAAGGCTGTTTGGACTCGTTGGAGTTTTTAAAGTCGGTTAGTGCAGTTCTTCCCTGTACGGAAAATTAGGAAACTTGTATCACATACAGGGAGACGATCGGGTAGCACCCACTACACTGTCTGGTGATAATTACTGTGGAAGTTAGTATATTCCTGTACAACCTATACTAATCCCGGCTTACGGTACAGGGAATTAGATGAATCTACAGGGCGTGAAATTTATTTTGAGAATTTGACGCAGTTTCTGTGTGTTTGGAGCTTCTGTTCGAGTCATGTTTGCAGTTTGAGTGTGTGTCCACTGTCCAACTTTTCTTTGTGCTGGATGAATCGGGAGATTAGTCTACGGCACATGTGCGTCTGCTTATGTTAATGCAGCTCTCTCTCCGTGCGCGGTCGAGTGTGCGCGGCTGACTGTAAAGTTGACTCTAACCATCCCGTTAATTTGCACGGCTACTGCGGCGCTGAGCAAACACACCGATGCGCCGCTTCCGTTGGCATGGGGGGTGCTGGTGTTTGTCGGGAAATAATGCTTTTCAGGCCGCTGCGGTTGCTGTTGATTAGAGCAGCGTGGAAAAACGCTTTTTGCGAATGCATTGGTGTCCTGGTTAACGGACGCTGGTGTGTGTTTGAGAGGCGCACATATCCGCTTGCGGCGCGATCATCACAGTGTCAGATCGGGCCCAAACGGAGACGCATGCCAATTGTTGCCTGATAAACAGACGAACAATCGCCACCAGTTGAGACGGCCATTGTTCCTATTATCCATCGGTAATTTCCATATTTTTTTATTATCTTTTTTTTACAAACAAACCGCGCCTGTTCGCCAGTCAGCAAAAAAATCAGAATTTATTCAGACTGAAAAATCTATTTGATTGTTACAAAAACCACCAGAAAATATAATTAATAAAATATAACTAGTAATTTAGTACATTGTACAAATACAATAATTTAATTAAAATTTATTTATGTTTGATTAATAAAATAGTGTAGTTAAAGTTGTAATGTAATATTTTAGATATTTAAATCAGAACTAAAAAATTCACTGATTTTTCAAAAACCACTGGAAAAAGAAATCTGTATCATTTATATAGAACGTGTTTGGACTAAGAAATTTCACAATTTATTAGAAAATATAGATACATATATATAATTTATATATATTATTTGGACCGAGAGTTTAATATAAGGGATTTTTCCGAAAATCAAATGCAAAATGAAGAGCTTACTTAAAGTCTTAAACCAAAGATAAATTAATTTTTTACATATATATTCTTTACCTATAAAATAATTTGTAACGAATGCCGGGTAAATTACATATTTCTATACAAACAAATCCGCAATGAAAATATTTCCCCCGAATGGGAAAGCTAGTAATTGACTTCCATTATCCGTGCATCGGTTTTTGTGGATAAACAAGCACAGAGCAGTATGCAAATACCGGGGCACATTCACTGCGGATTGATTGGATGCGGAGTAGAGCTAGGCGCGCGTATCTAACCCGAAACTGGAACGCGTCGTATACGTACACGGCGGAGAAAAGTCAACAGGCACCGCCGCATCACAGAGAACACATACAGCAGCATATGCAGGCAGCGCACAAAGGCAAATACACATTTTCTCTAACAAGGTAATCACTCCGTGTTTGCCCTGGCGATGGAGGCCCGGAAAGGTCACGGGTGTCTGTATAGTTGAGGCGGTGACGGTAATAATGACAGATCGGACAGTTGCGCATCTGCACAGTGTTATAACATTGCCGGGATGTTTATACAATAATTTGATTTGTGGATGATCATGTGCTGGATTCTAATCTGATTAAAATAATCCTTGTGATTAATGCGAATGTGATAGAGTAGATGTTAATGTTTTTAATGTGATGCTGACGCTTCAGGCCGTTGCGCGATCAGGTATGATTTCTCCGGATTTTAATCGTCTTAATAATTTTTCTCAATAATATTCGCACCTCTATAAATATGTTTTCGCTGTTTCCTTTAATAAATCAGACGAAAAATTCTCGAGGAAATTAAGACAAAGTTCGAAAAGAACTAAAAGCATGATAATAATACAAGTACAGCTATAACGAAATAAAAATTTCTCGGCTGCAATTTTTCTGTAATTTGTTTTCGCCATTTTCTTTACAAAACTAGATAAAAAAATTACGAAGAAATAAAAAAATAAGAAAGGACAACTAAAAATAATAGAAAGATAGAGGTAAAATTACGAAGAAATAGAAAATGCTCTGCTGCAATTCTTTTTAACGAGAGATTTTGGAGATTTTAATTTTTATATAAGCTTTTCAGTTTTCTGTGACGTGTTGATCAATCGAGCGGGAGAAGCGGCGAGCGGGTGTTGGATGTCAATTGTTTTGCACAGCCGCCGCTTTGCCGTCGCGGTATACAGCAGCGATACGTTATATTCAATCTTGACAGTTGCTTGGTGTATTTTGCATTTATTGTCCATCCGATCCGGGCGGATCAGGTTCGGCTGCACTTGTGGCATAACTTTATACTACCCAGCTATCCCTCTGCATGATCAAGGTTCCCCCACTTTGTCATCCATTCCGTCGGCCAAGCTGCCGGTGTAATTTTCCAAAGCGGCACAATTTATTTATATGTGTATTGGCTCATTTCGCCGCTATTACCGACAGCTTGATCAACAGTTACACCGTGTTAACGGTAGTTGTCTGCGGCTGTGTAAATTATTTTGCGGTTGTTTATTCAGCGGGCATCGTCTGGTAATCGTACAGCGTCACCATTGCGGTTTTTCTATTACAAAAAATTAATTTACTGTAATACACTGTTAAATAAATTTTGTAGATTTGTTTTGGAATTTTCTCCGGACAGAAAACGCCGATACTCGTTAAAATTTGCGAGGAACGATTCTCTATTTTGCAGTCCATAATATTATGGGCTTTATAAAGGCTTCCTACAAGTACATATATATCTTTTAAAGGTCATCGATTAACAAAAAATTTATATAAACCGATATTCTTTTGCAACAATTTTTTTTAAGTGTATATATTTCCGAAAGGTCATCGATTAACATGAAATTTATATATACCAATATTCTTTGGCAACAATTTTTTAAATTTTATTGGTATAAGTTTTCCCGAAAGGTCAGTATTTTGTCGATAATTATAAATTAATTGCGTAGGAAAGTTATAGCAAATAAATGTGGAGAAAGAACGGCTTTAGCGTCTTCTTTGTTGAATAATCCGCGTTGTATGTTTGTGTTGCCGGATGAAAATGCGGCCGCAGCTGGACTGGCCTGCATTAGCCTTAGTTCCTGAGTCTAGAGTAGATGAGTCTACTCTATTCCTACTTAAAAGTTAGTAGTTCATTAATTCGCTGAAGAGTCGACATGTATAAACTAATGTTGACTTTTCTGCCTTGGACCGTTTGTTGTCATTCGCTGCTCTGCTTCCCATCGTGCTGGATTCAGGCCCGGCCGTCTGTGGCTGCTGCGAGCGTCCATTCAAATAAAGTAGTAGTGTGTACACATCGGCTGGTCCGAGTACGAGCTGCACTCCACCAGCGGAAGCCGAACAGCGGCGCTAGAATATGCTGATGTTGTCCGTCAATTATGATCGCTTGTAATTGCTGCGCTACTCGGACCCATAGTCCCTGCTGACCAGCACAAGAGGATTCATATTATTCCCTGGTTGTCAATTTTTCTTAATATTTAATAATAACTATGAATGCTGATGACGTGAAATTCCGGGCCGATCGAATTGTTATTGTAAAAAAAAATTTTATTCCCTTTTCTTGCTTTAATCAGCATGCGACAAAAGATTTAGTTTTCTTCCTGCCGCATAATAAATTTTTACTGCCGGTTCTGCATTGATTTATAAAAAATGAACAACCGCCACTGAGAAAATTATGGCGGTATCATTTAAGTAACCGATTATAGGTTGATATAAAAATATCCGATGAGACGTGAAATTTAATGCTGGTGTTAGTCATATATGTGTTTCGTATCTCTATAAAAATGAAAACAGGCGACTGAAAAAACACTATGCCGGGCTTGTTTCTGTAAATGAATGTTTAAATGAATGTTCTCTTTTGGCTTTTTATAGAAACAAGAAAATAAAAACAATCTTATATTTTATAGAAAAAACAAAATAAAAAAGGAAACAAGCTGTTTTTACCGGCAGTATCTCGACATCTGTACGACTTTCTGCAAAAACATTTATACTCGTATGTATATATACGAGTATACATAGTATCTACGGTAGTTTATATCGTGCGTGTTTTTGTAAAAACAACAATGCAACTAAAAAATTTATCGTTGGTCTTTAATTAGTACATGTCCCGCTGAAGTGTTTCGTACGTAATTCGCTTGTGCCCATGAAATGTCTCCTCAAACGCATACACTGTTCTACGTTCTCACGGTCTAGATCTACCTTTTATTTCCAAAAACACGATAACAATATCAAGAATCAGTTCCGGTTGAAGAAATCAACAATTTCAACCGTACCAGTAACAGGTAAAGTCTCACGGTTAATTTACTGGTATTACAGACATCCACGTCGCGGCTGCCCTGGGAGCGGACAGCCTGCTGAACACATCCCCGGTGTGCCGCAGTCACAGCAGCAACAGTGCCGTTGCCGCGCACTCGCCATCCGATCCCGGCTGTGTGGGCGGGGTCGACGGGAGCGCTGGTTGTGCGGATTCGGAAGCGGATACGGGACACGCACTCATCACTCGGCCGCCGTCGCCGCCGCCGGGCCAGGATCCTTCTTCATCCCGGAAAAGGAAGGCGGAGAGTCAGCCGGACAACAGCCGGCTTTTAATTAGCACGAGTACAGGGAACGTTGGTGCAGCGACGCCTACACGGCCCCCGTTTCCTCTTACGTAAGCATTGGTATAGTGTACTCTGTATACTGCATATACGTACACCGCGAATACCGGCAGTTCTTGAGCGCGGTAAATGTCTGCAGGCAAAAATATGAAAGAAATGAAAATGAGCGTATGTATTTAATGTAATTGAATTCGAGAAAAAATTACTGTTTTCGGTATATGCAATTTATTAATTTAAAACTAATAAAGCAAAAAGCCCCGGAAGGGAAAAGAAAATAAATTACAAATAACGTGAACGCTGAAAACATGTGTAACATAATACGTAAAAATAAGCAAAATAAGTCACCCGATTTTATTTAAGAAAAAATAATCTTGTATAAATTAGTGAGTAAAAATGTGTAAACAAATTATACGAATTTAAATATAAATTAATTCAGCGGAAAATAACAATTAACAAGTAAAAATTCGTAAACATAAATCACATGAAATTAAATACAAAAATAATTAAAGCAAAATAATATCTAAAATGCGCAGAATAATATTTTCTGAAGTAAATCTTAAAGTGTCTGAAGTGTTTGTAAACTTGTTTGAAAGTGCTTCCCATGATAAATAAAAAATCAAATACATTTCAATAAGGGAAATAATTTAAATATATTTTACCTTTTTTTCTTTATTAATCGTTGATTAGAGTAGCGAATTATCGGATTTTATCGGTTGTGTTGGCACTTGGCAGTGAGAAAATGCAGGCCTACCCCTCGGTAGGCAGCGGTCACGCCGTGGCAGCGCACGCCCACAACTCCTCCTACTCGCATTTGCCGGCCGCGGCCGCCGCCGCTTCCGGCTTCTACAATGCTCAAAGCACGCCGGGCTACTCCACCATCCTGCAGCAGCCCTACGGTCAGTCATTACTCTCACTTCCGGTGGTTTCAAATGTGAACCGTGCTATATCTGATAATTTTCTACAGGAAGAAATCTGAAGCAAAACGGACAAACCTCGGTAGCCGGGCTCAGTTCGGCGGCCGCCGCTGCCGGCGGTTACATGCCCACGGCCTTCCCGGGGACGTTCGCCTCAGTGCCGACCGGAAATAATCCCTACGCTGCTTACGGTAACAATTCGTAATATTATCCACTGAAAAAATTATTATTGGATTTTTTCGCCTTTAATTTCAGGGTTTTTTTGAACTTACTTTCAATTATTATTATTATTATTATTCATCGTGGAGCAGGTAGCCCATTTCCGGCTAGGGTGACTTTCTAGCTGGGATTTTAAACCTGGCCAAATAGCAAAATCGAAAAGTACGAGTGCAGATAGACAGAAAAGACGTCTTAAACAAAATTGACACGGTTCAAAGCTTGCTTAAAGGCACCAACTGTACGAATATCGAACAGATCAGAAAAATTAGAATCAACAAAAAATGTCCACAATTTATTAAGTTTCCAAGCAAAGGTCGTCTCGCCAACTTTCTTCTTCGCTTCCGCCTTGATCCGGATGCGGTTTCTATTCCGAAGGTTGTACGGCTTTATATGGTCATCAAATTCCACCATCTCAGAGATGTACTGCGGCACATGGAATTTTTCCGGATGTTTGATCTTGTATAACCATATCGCTTCCTTTTGTTTCCATCTCGTGAAGAGCGGTAAGATCCCATGTTGGTTCATGAACGATTCCGTGGGTATCTTTGCGTAGTTTGCAGCCGCTCGGACACCGTTACGATGCATCGCGGCCAATTTATCACGCAAGCGCACAGATGCCCCGCTCCACACTGTAGAGCAGTAGTCCAGATGCGACTGAACAAAGGCATAGAAAAGCGCAATGCGTTGGGATGTTGGCAGGCCGACTTTAACACGATTTAACAGTGATATACCGTACCGAACATTCTTTTGGACCTTTTTAACATGGTCAGCCCAACTGAGATGTTCATCCAGTACCACTCCAAGATGTTTCACTGACTTTTCTGGAAGTAATTTATGACCGTTCAGCATTACGCTTACGTTGGTTTCGCGATTATGCGCTGAACTTATTAGTAACAAATTCGATTTTTTCTCGTTGACGAACAACCGGTTGGAATTAAGCCACTCACAGACTGCCGGTGGTGCTTCAGTTAGATCTTTTGCTGCGTCCGCTTTCGTGTTAGCAACAGCATAGCAGCATAGCAATCAGTTATTAATTTCCGTTCCGCAACAGCATAGCAATCAGTTATTAATTTCCGTTTATTGCAACCATTTCATACCGTTCAATTAAATTTCTTCTGTTTATGTACCAAGCTACCTTATTAAACTTACGTATAATTTTGCTTGTGGTTTTTTTTAAAATTACAGTATTTCTCTCGGTTTACTGCATATAATAATTTATTATGGTTCTTTTGCTGTAAATGTAGTTTATGTTAAATATACAGTAATTAATAATATTCTCAATTTTATATTATCGTAATGCGTTAAATTATTAACAACACGATTTAATTTAATTTTGCAATTAATGTTTTGAATATTTCGTAGAAATTTGATAATAAAGAAATAATAATATTTAGGTGCCGCAGCGTACAATGCCGGCGCGTTCTCGGCCAATCCGTCGTGCAGTTCGCCGGGCTTCAGTCAGCAGCAGGCGCTGGACTACACGTACGGCTCCTACGGCCAGAACCCGGCCTACGCGGCCTACTACTCCCCGGCCAACTACCCGGCCTACATGCACGCCGCCGCCGCCCAGGCGGTACAGGCCGTCCAGGCCTCCAACACCGCCGCCGCCGCCCACAATCTCACCGCGCCGGCCGCCCACTCCGCGGCCAACGCGGGCTACCAGCTGGCCGGGCTCAACACTAATTCCACGGCCGGTCAGTGCTCTACTTAATGTATTACGGTAAAGGTCATGGTGTAAAGGTCACTTTTTGTTGTAGCAGATTCGCACTACTCCACGTCCAATAGTAACACCACGGCCACGCCCTCGCCGCCTCTCAAAGAGAACGCTTCCGTGGCGTCACTCAGCAAGAAAGGTCATTCTTAGAAATAAAAAAAAATGTTTGTTAAATAAAAATCTGTACATGCTATTCAGCAATTTGAAAATGAGAATTATAATGAAAAGAAAAACAACTATAATAATGCGAAGAACAAGAAGCGTTGATACCAATTATCAGAAACAGAAAATTTTATATAACAATAATAATAATAATATTGTAATAGTAAATTAATTTTCCGTACAACACGTTTTATTATAATACTGGATATTAAAATTGTTTTTTCACATTTTTTAACATTATGTTAATCTAGAGGTGATTTTGTTTTAATAATATGACTTTGTTATTTTTTTTATCAAAAGAGCCGCAAAAATTAAAAAAAAATATACATAATTGAATTATAGCGCGTTCATCTAAGAACCGTGGGCGTCGGCAGAACAACCCGACACCGCCGCCCGAGGGCGACATGGAGCGGGTGTTCATCTGGAATCTAGACGAGACCATCATCGTGCTGATCAGCGGCGTCCTGCAGGACCCGCTGCCGCATCCGGACCTGCAGAACAGGGTCAGCGACCACTTCCGGTTCTGAACGGCAACAAAATAAATTACATACGAAATTTCTTATTTACAGGCGCTGGACTGTGAATTCTTCCGCAGCATCTGTCTGCGCATGGAGACGCTGATTATGCAGATATCGGAGAAGTGTCTGTTCATGGAGGATCTGTACGAGTGCGATCAGGTGCACATTGACGATGTGGCTAGCGACGATAACGGACAGGATTTAAGGTACTTACATTATAGTATTATTATTTTAATTACAAACAAACTAACTTACTAACTTCAAATAAATTTAAATAAATAATAAAAGTGAATATTTTGATAAATACATATTTTTTGAACAAATTAACTGAAAAAATTATAAAAAATTTATCAAATGTATTAAAAATAACATATATTTAATGTAGTAATAAACAGAAGCACAATCTGTTATTTACAGTAAATGCATAATTAAGTGTCTGTTTGTTTGCGGGCAGATTTATTTGCCATATTTACTTTTCGCGTGTAGTTCGTATAATTTCGCGGCGGATGGCTTCCGCGCAATCTCCCCGAACGGCAACCTGTGCATGGCGTCGGGAGTGCGCGGCGGCGTCGATTGGATGCGGAAACTGGCCTTCCGCTACCGGCGCATCAAGGACATCTACAACCAGTACCGCACCCAGCCCGATGGTTAGTTGTTTGAACACTAGTAACCAAATAAGCAGACAGCAAATTTTGCCGGTCAAATTACATACTATAGTAAAATGGTCGTTCGATCTAGTCAAAATTAAGCCAAGAATGTTTTCGAAATTCGACTTGACAAGCTGCATTTACTTGGTGGCAAAAAGGCGTCTCATAACTATACATAAGTATAGAAAGTGTAAAATTAAAACTAATTAAAATAAAATTGTTGCAGCTATTAAACTTTATATTTTAAATAACTTGATTTTAAGAGGACGGTGTTTAATATTAATAAGTTATTGATCAATTAAATATTAAAAACTTAATACGTTTATTGTTACTAAATTAAAATATGTACATATTGAGATGAAGTTTTTTTGCGGCAGTGTTGTGCGGGCATTGCGGCGTGAGTCGGCAGGAGTGGGTGACGATGCGGGAGCAGATCGACAGTCAGACCTTCAACTGGTCGCGGCTGGCGCACGAGTGCCTGAAGAAGATCGCCACCCGCGACGGCTGCACCAACGTCCTGGTCACGCAGAACGCCCTGGTGGCCGCCATCACCAAGCTTCTCCTTTTCGGCTTCGCCGATGTGTTCCCCATCGAGAACGTCTACAGCTCCGCCAAAGTCGGTGAGTCAACAGCCACCCGGCGCTTCCGGTTCATCAACACTCAAATCTCAACTAAACACAATTAGAAAATTAATAATTCATTGACGGTGGTTGACCCGTTAAAAAACTGAACGAAGAAACGTTTATTTGACGCCCTATTTTTATTGCAGAAAGGAACTGCAAAACTGAATTAATAAATTTCGAAATGAGATTCGTTAAAATCTGGCTGATACAATTTTTTAGTTGGCATATATATAAACAGTTTTATATATAAAAAAATTTTCCGTGTATTTTCATTGGAGAAATAAATTGCGAAATTCGATTAACAAATTTCAAACCAAATTACTTAAAATCTGGTTGGTGTACTTTTTTTATATATAAGCATGAAGATTTTGTTGGCAGGTAAGGAGACATGCTTCGAGCGCATCCTCAACCGTTTCGGCCGCAAGTGCACCTACGTCGTGGTGGGCAGCGGACATGAGGAGGAGACCGCGGCCAAACAAGTACGTTATTAAATTCTTAAAATAAATGTTTCCCAAAAGCCGATATCGTAGGTTCGTTTAACACATGCCTGCGTTGTAGATGAACTTCCCGTTCTGGCGCGTGGAATGCTTCAACCACTTGGTGGCCCTGCGCCACGCCATCAACGAGCAACACCTGTAAAGGTCACCAGGAGGACGGGGTCCAGCGCTGGCCGTGCATATATACGCACACCTGTGGTACGTACTGGTAAATAGTGTAAAAAATTTTATGAAACCAAAAACGTAGCATCTGTACTCGTATGAATAAACATTAATAGAAGCTCGGGGTTTTGCATAGTTCATTTAATCAGCGTGCATCAGCGCAGTTAACCACTACGGTTAACAAGAAAAAACGTAGCATTATAAAATAACTACTGGAAGTGTGCTTTTAAAAGTTTGCACTGGTTCGTTTGTTGTCCGGTAAAACAAAATTAAAATTAAAACAAAGGATCAAGAAAAAAAATAGTTTGCTTTATATTAAAATTATTAGGGCAAAGCATGTTATAAAACATATAAAAATTATAATTAAAAAGAAGGAAAAAATAATTTGTTGTGTATTACAATTATGAATACTCTCACAGCGCGTTGTGAAACGCGACCACAGAATCGACAAGAATCGTAGTGCAACGGCATACCAATATCAAAGGTGATCTCGATGATATCAGCACGCATGCTTACCATAAAATGCTTTAAGCGCTTAAACATTTTTTTAGTTTTTTCCGGGTTATCTCATTAACTGCGCATAACGGTGGTTTATTTACACTCGTATGTTTTTCTCGCAACAGATACACAATTATCCACAACGATGAACAAGGCAACCACGCAAGTCCCACACCGGCAACTGGATGGTGTCGTGGAGATAACTGTGGATGTTAACAATTTTACAATACTCGCGAACTGGGTTGCTTCCTGCTAATAATGTCACTTAACAAATTTCAACCGCTATTCGTTCCTATACATGTTTATAACGTCGATGATCATCCAGTCTACAAATGGACGTTGGTTTTCGCTTCTCCTCGGCAGACCCGGTTAAATTTATTACTCATTATGTACTCTGAATTACAGCGGTCACTCTTGTGTACAAAATTAACTTACAGTCAAATAAAACCGTTCAACCGGAAGTACCACAAACTGCGAAGCATAACATCTCCATAATAAAAATACGCTTTAGTCTACAAATGAGATCATACGTATATTGTAGCATATTACGATGTATGTACAGAATACCGGCATTTTCACACATTTTTAGCAAGAAAACATGAAATGCCCCGCGGACACCGGCACGCCGGAATCGACAGCACGGCAAAGAGCCGACAAATATTAACGAGCACCTAACCAAAAAAACACTGTGATGCAGTCATTCCGTAGACAAACAGTTCGCGCAATTACGTCCATGACTCAAATAAGAAAATTCCGTGTTTGGTAACTTTACGCATTTTACGCTTTTCGTTTACAGTTCCGGTTGATAATTTACTCAAGAGAAGAAAAGACGAATTTGTGTAGCTTTTTTTTACTTCTTTTTTTTTAATAATGTCGAAGGAGAAAAACAATGATCCGGTCGCCCAGTCGGGAATCGCCACGGCCGGGAAATACGCACACGCCGACGGCCGCGCGGAGAAAACTGCGGCGCTGGATATTACCCGGCAAGGCATGGAAGTGGCTCCCACCGACGCTGGTTTAACCGCCCGCGCCAAATCCCATCACCATCCGGAACACGTTATCCCGCCGGAGACCATGGCTGATTTGGCGGACCTGGACAAATCCACAGGAGCCGCTAACGACGCGGATTTTTTAAAATGGCTGGACGCCAACCAGGACATGCCAACGGACGCACTCAACGCCGAGATGAACCGACGCTCCGGACACGACGCGCAGAATCTCTCCGACATCTTCACGGTGTCGGCGCTGCGCATGTTCTTCGCCCCGGTGAAACCCGACGAACCGCCCATCGATTCGGAGATGGTGCGCCGGGAATCGGATGTCTCCTCGGATGTTTCTAGCCATAGTGATGTGGAGGAGCACCCGACGCTGGCGCACCGGCTGCATTTAGATGTGCGGGCGCGCCGGGAAGAGCGGAGGCACAAGGAGCTCCAGGAAGCGGTGGACGCGGAGAAGGCGGATATGGAGGAGTGGGAGCGGAAGATCCGGGAGCGGCACGAGCGGCGGATGAAGCGCCGGGCGGAACGGGAGGCCAGACGGAAGAAGGAAGCGGAGATGGGGAAATTGGCGGATTTGATGGGGAAAGTTTCCTTGGATTCGGGAGCGCCGCGTCCCGACTGTGGCGCGAGGTCCCGGGAAGAAAACCGAGATGTAAAGATTAAGGAAAAGATTATTACGAGTGTGAATGGAAAAAATCATAAGAGTACTGTCAGTTACGAGGCGGTGGAGAAGGATGGGGAAGATGGGAAAGATGTGGACCCGGAAGTGGTGAAGCGCATCAACACGTTGTACCCGGAAGCGTTCACCACGTTCCGTTCGCCGGCCCGAGACCGGCTACGCCAGAGACTGAAGGGTGCGCCGGCTCCGTGATTTATATTATTTTACGCTAGTGTATGCTATGTCGTTGTAATCATGTTTCTTATTGCTGCGCGTTCTACGAAAATTTTTACTGTATGGCAGGAAGTGTGATTTCTGTCGGTCATATCATCGTCGCTTTTTGGTGCTTTTGCGGTTACACATTACTGTACGCTAGTCGGTGAGTGCGACAGCGGATGAATCTTGTCTAAGCGGTTCACAGTGTTGTGGCTATCGGTTCTGGCCGATTTACCGCAAGCGTAGGATGACGGCACACATCTATCGAAAGCTGCCTATTCTGTTTCTAAGCCTGATTTGAGTTTTCGTTTTTCTAATAATAATTACTACTTTATTGTCCGTTACTGAGAGACGTCGCTTCCTTTTCAGCTAAGACAGCAAATCAGGAAGAAAAGCAAAAAGCCTATTAACCAGAGTATTTAAATCGAGCGATATCCAGCACCACTCCAAAGGGAAATTTTGGAATAGCAGACGCGGAACCGTTACGTGACGCTCTTCGAGGCAACCGACAAAAGTTTTATGCTTTACGAAGACTCGGTGCAATTTACCAATCGAAAATGCATTGCCGATTAAGACAGTGTTTTAATCACAAACTCTGACTAAAATGAAGAAGACGGTAGGTGACCAAAGAAGGCGCATCCTGCATGGGGGTATTGCGTGTGGTTTGGGACGAGCTTAAATGTACTGCTGTTTCTTCTGTTTCGTCGTATTATGCGTCATTTTCGTCTGGCGAGCAGATGGCATCAGCTGATGCAGTTGCTCTATCTCGGTGCAGTCAACAATCCACCTTAATCAATGTGTTAATCAGGGTGTGGCTGATCGCTACCGGAAGAACGGTAGGTACTGTATGGTGACCGCTTTCTCGGTGTGCATCTTGAATTGTTTAATCTGATAACGGTGTTTCGTCGGACGCCGGACAAACTCTTGATCTGCACGCGCATATTGTGATCACCAAACGCTGACAACACCATCCACGCCGTAGACAAAAACGAATTAAAATACGGTAAAGCAGTACACGTACACAAGCTGATCAAACTGCTCCATCCGATAAACACCCCGTTACCAAATGGCAAATGTTAATGCTGCAGGGATACCTTTTGGCTTTGGTGATTGAAATGCTGGAAGTTTTTTGCCCGGTTTCAGGTGAATTGGTAAACTTGCCGTTAAGCTAGCGATTAAACTGCAGAATCGCGTTTTACTACTGCTTTCTTAAGCAGCGTTTTAGCCCAGATGTTGGTGCCGTGTTCAGCCGGTGCGATCGACGGTTTAGTGGCTACTTTATTACATAGCGCACGATACATGCAAGGGTTCTTTTTATTGGGTTACACAAATGAACATTGGTTAAACGCTAAATCAGGCAGTACATTATTGCAACTATTTCAACACATAATATACTTCATCCAGCCTCCTCCCGATGCAGAAGGTTTCCTGAACGCATGCAGCATTACCTCGCATTAAAGCAATACTGATTCTCTGCTTCAGAAACTGAGTGGACCGCTTCTCCTGAGTCCGCTCAGAAAGCCTTTTACCGAGTGTAGACATTTTACATTTCGATTCTTTACCCCACACACCCATTGTTTCAAAAACCAAAGCAGAGAAATTAAAATTATCCCGTAAATATTCGTGCTTCTGGTTTTTCTTTGTCTCTGCCATGGTGGCGGCCGCGCCGGCCTCCTGGGACGTCTTGGCGATGTAGGAGGTGGCCATGGTGTCCGGGCAGGTGACATCCCAAACCCAGGATTTCCCATGACTGAAAGGGACTGAAGTCATGCCGTCCGGTCGTTTCAAAGTGTCGCGGTAGAGGCCCGGAGGTTCCAGAACTGAAGGGATGCTGGCCGTACCACACGCACGATGGATAACATCTCTAACTTCGTTGTGCCGGGAAATCTTCGCTTTAAGACGTTTGCATCCCAACCCGTGATATCCCCACACGTCAACGGTGCTGCCGCATTTGCACCGATGTTCGATACATACTGGGGAGCCGATGCGTTGCGCAACGGATATTCGTACTTCGGTATTTGACAGCAAAGTGCCGAGGCTTGCCACTGGTACAGCATTAAGCCACAGTCCGGATTCGGGCTGGGACACAGCTAGCAGCCGGGCTTTTTGATTAACGGACTTGGTCTGGCGTAACACAGTTTCTTTCTGAATGAGAACGACGGGTATGTCCCATGCGCGCTGTGAAGCGCGCAGATTCTCTGCAGGGAGTTCCGCAGGCCCCATTGACTTCCATGCTTGTTCCGCGCGTGTCACATATGCTTCACTGTACAGGTCGGTCATGTGTGGCACCAGCGAGCGTACCGAGTTGACCGAGGCAAGGAATGCCGAAGGTGCTAGTCGTTCGGTGCGTCTGATGCCTAAACCACCCACCCGTACAGGTAAGGTTACCTGTTCCCAGATTTCATCAGTAATGGTCACGTTGGTGATTTCCTCAAGACTACTGCTTACAGAAGACTCGAATTTATTGAGGATCTCCGGAAAATGGAACGCTTCGCTCGTTCTTAAAAGGTACATCAGTTTTGGGACGGAGAGACAATTTTTCAGCAAGAAAAGTGCTTGATGGGACGGCAAAGGTGACAGACGAGAAATCATTCTGTTCACCATGCCGATCTTTTCATCCAACAATGGGCCGACCGATTCGCTTGTGATTCCCGCAACATGCAAGTGGTACAAGAAAGCAGCGGCCATTGCACCCGGTGATCGAAGGTCCTTTTCTTCCACCAATTCCACACCGTACTGTACCACTATTCAGCTGCGCCCGACGGAAATGACGCAATGCCGTATGCAAACCCTGGACGATGTTATTCCGCAAACGAAGGCGGTTGAGAAAGGCGCAGCACTGACTCATGTAGCGTTTCTTTATATGCACGGCTTGTTTGTTCTACAGTGATAGACGTTCCTGCCCGCTATTTCTATACAGTAGAGGACTTTTATTTTTATGTCCGTTGGCGCACGATGCCAGGTATTTGTGACCTTGTTTAGTGGCATTCTATTTATTGTTCTCAAGTTGTATGAATTGTATACTGTCACCTTGTGTGATGTATCTAGATTCGCGTGTTTCTTGACCTTCTTGTACTTTCTATATTTCTATTCTCTGTCCTTCGTCCTAGCAACTTTCTGTGCTTCTTCTGTTCTCTGGTTACGGTTCTTCTCATGACAGTCAGTCAGTTCTCTGCTCAGTTGCGATACACATTAAAGTGCTACGATACGAGTCCATAGCATACGCTACAGTACAAATACCTTCATATCTCACACCCTGGCGTGCTTGAGCGCTCGTTGACCATAGTTTGCCGTCGTAAAAGAATCTGTTGGCGACCTAGTGAAATCACCGATTGGACGCCAGTATAAACATGTACCTTTACAGCCCAGCGTTATCATGATTACTGACTATCTGTGCGAATATTTACTGAAGGACACCACGGCGAAACCATGTCGAGGCGTTTTGTTTCCACTATTGCAGCAAGCGATATATCGTTTTACAATTTAGTATCGACCATAAACTATTTAATGTGCATCCTTTAGAAAATCAACTAGCAACGACGTGAACCGTTTTTAGAGACAGACACCGTGCTGGCCGACGACGGGAACGTAGCAGATGCGGTTGCAGCAGTGCTCGTCGGCGTAGCAGTAGTTGTTGATGTGCCGGCACTCCGCGCGCTTTCCCCGTCCGCGACCAGCGCCGTTGATGTTGACGCTGCCGCCCTTTCCTCCGTAAGCGGTACCGCCATGCGCAACGTTTCGATTGGATCCACCGCCTGATGATCCTCTAGAAGGCGTCATATTGTTCTTGATGTTCGTCTGTCCGGAACCGATGTTGACCCGTCTAGCAGAATCCCTTCTGGCACTGCTGTTAGTCGGAAACAAGGCAATAAGACATAACGCCGACAAGGCCACAACAAGGGAAAAGGAGACGGCCATCGTACTATAAGGATATAGCCGCTGTCTCGTAGAACCTAATCGAAACACTGTGTCTTGTTTTTAAAAGCTCACAAAACTATGTAGGTGATGATATAACGAACTGCAGCATTGGTTGCACGTTTTAAATACCACTGCAACGGTGATAATCGCGATCGTACGCCGGTGATGTGTATCGGCTCTTTCGTCAGTTCCCGTATAACGCGCAGTAATCAGGGTCGGTGCACTGGTGATCAAGATTACCTCTGGCATTGCTGACGCAAATATATAACGGTTGCTGATCGGTGCTTCTGGGATATGCGCTGTAAATGCACGCAACTCCTACGTCATTGCGTTAGCCGATAACGACAATTTCTAGCGTAAAGTCTATACCGATAGGCGATAGCATGTAAGTATTTAGCGCGAAGTTTGCTCTGTGAACGATTGCCATTACACCATGCCTACAATTGTGACAGATTCACAGCTCACAATATTCTGAACTCATTATGAATGTGACGCAATTTCCGCTATGCTGCATCCTCCAAAAACTTGACCATTGTGCGCCTTTCCTCAAACACTCCCCGAAATGGAGCAAGCATGGGTTTGCTCCAGATAAAACATTGTATTAACGCCCAAGTCTTTCTGGGCAGGGCAAAACTATTTCGCAACATTTAAGCCAGTATTAACGGCTACCACCACGGGTTGCAGTGTTTTGCATCTCCGTATAATATTCTCCACTTCCGCAATGCAGTCCGCGAATCACCACGATGTGGATGGCGGGCGCCATGTCCGTTGTGTGTATGCTAGTCTGCGGGCAGTTTTGTGCAACGGCATCTGCTACGTCACGGTGGTTGGCCAAAATGGCGTCTTGCCTTTAAAGCGTAGCGTTCCATATTATGTACTATCTACTAGGGTAGGTAACATTCTCTGTTCTCAGTGTTCTGACTCACATTAAATTGTATGCCAAGACCGCTGCATGACTGTTTCACCGGACGCATTTGTGTTCAGAATAGCTTCGGGGTTGGTTCTTCTTTCGGATATCAAGCGAAGTGCCAAAGTTTATATGCTGGCGGAAGTGCACAGCGACCGAAAAATGCCAACGAATCAGAAAAACTTTATGTAGTGTTGCTTGCTTTATATCATCCAGATAAAAACAACAGCCTTCATGTGAAACTACACTTTATCTAATATTTGCAAATACGTAATCAAACGAGCTACAATCACAAATGAGCAGTAGTTTTAAATTATGAAGCAACAGTTTTTAAGAACTGTTTCTAAAGACAGACACCGTGTTAGCCGACGACCTGGACGCGACAGATGCCGTTGCAGCAGTGCTCGTCGGCGTAGCATTAGTTGCTGATGTGCCGGCATTCCGCACGCTTCCAGCGTCTCGCGCCGTTGCTGCGCTGCTCGAAGCCGTCCACCCCAG